AAAAAGGGCCGGTTCTCACTTACTGCAGGCGGAGAACCCGCCTGCCTGGGCGGACTGCCGAAGGGGAACCAGGAGTCGGGTGGGCCCAAGGGGGCCACCAAATTGAAGAGGAAGAATGAGGTGTTTGCCCTAGGGGTAATTAGGGTATTTTGAGGGGTTTATGTGAGAGTTAAAAGTGAGTTAGGGTGGCTTTTTGGAGGGATCTTATTTGGTGGCTGTTTTAGCTTTTATTTCTAATCTAGGGCTTGGGAGAAAGCTTCTCTTCTCGAAGTGAGAGCATTGTATCCATGAAAACTTGTAAGTCTTTTGATATTCAAGTTATTGAAGTGTTTGTGAGTGTTTTCATCCAAGAAATTTTGCATTTTTCCACCGTTTTTGGACTGTTTTTCTTGGATTCCGAAAATTACAAATTAAGATCCATCAGAATCCGACAAGATGTACTCCATCGAAGGATTCGCCAACATCGTCGCGGTTGCAGGACATGTATGTCGATGCAAGACAAGAACTACGATGCGAGATAAGAACTGCGATGCGGGCCAACATCGACGGCTCTAAACTTTTGAAAATGATTTCAGCCGCTCGTCGCAGTTGCAGGACAAGAACTGCGATGCGGTAGTCAAGGTATATCTATTAGCAATAAACTCTCTATTTTAGGATTTTAATGAAGGAAATTGGGTTGGCTACTTATTTTCTTTTTCTATTCATTTCATTAACAAATGCACTTGGTAGATTTTGGTTTGAAACCAAGCACAATAATAAAGTTAAGAAATTGAAAATGGTGTAGGTAACCTGCAATAAGATGAAAACAGAGATGCAAGCAAGAGAAATAACAGAGAGTAAACTTCGTATTGAGATCAATATCCAGAAAACTGTCTTCTCCTAAACACCTGCGGCATATATCCGAGTTCTCCTTCTATACTATAAAAAGGACTAAGGGAAAAAAAAGGTAAAGTGTACTATATAACTAACTATAGCACTAAGTAGTGGAAACTCAAGCATCCTAACAGAAACTATGAGTAAAAATAAAATACTCCTCCAGACTCCTCTAACTAAAGATGCTCCGCATCATGCGCCCCTGCCAAGAAAAATGGCTGGACTAACTGAATCCAGTTGTGTTGTGTTTTCATCAGGTGGTCGGTAAGCATATATATCTGCCACATTAAAAGTATGTGAAGTATTAAACTCATCTGGTAAATCGATGACGTATGCATTGTCGTTTATCTTTTAGCTGATTGGAAAAGGACCCCATTTCCTTTTGCCGAGTTTAGAATAACTGCTGGCAGGTAACCTCTCTTTGCGAAGCCGAACGAATACCAAATCCCCAGGACTAAATAATTTCTCCCTTCTATGGACGTCAGCATCCATCTTGTATTTGTCATTTGAAGCTTGCAGTTTCATCCGAATGTTAGATAAAAAATATGTATACTGATCAGCTAGTACAGACGCCGCCTTACTTTTACATTTTGGAAGAACTGCAATATCAAGAATTGTGTTTGGCATTTTAGTGTAAACAATACTGAATGGGCACATACCAGTGGATCTATTAGGCATTGAGTTGAATGAAAATTTGGCTTGACCGAGCACCTCGTCCCAAAGTTTTGGATGATCCTGAACTATGCAGCGAAGTAGATTACCAAGAGTTCGGTTAACTACTTCAGTTTGCCCGTCAGTCTGCGGATGATAAGAAGAACTCAGCTAGATTTGTGTGTTTAACCTTTTCCAAAGCTCCCTCCAAAAATGACTAATAAATTTGACATCCTGATCTGAGGTAAGGCTCCTTGGAATCCCATGAAGACAAAAAATGTCTTTAAAAAAAAAGCTTTGCAATGTTAAGAGCATCGAACGTCTTTTTACAGGCAACGAAGTGTGCCATTTTAGAAAATCGGTCCACTACAACCATGATTGAATCGTTGCCTCGTTTCCTCCGGGGTAAGCCCAATACAAAGTTTAAACTCAAGTCTTCCCAAATGGAGTCCGGCACCGACAAGGTCTGATACAATCCAGTGTTCTGACCACCTCCCTTATAACTTTGGCAAATTAAACACCTCTCTACAAACATTGTTACATCTCTTCTTAGATGGGGCCAAAAAAATCGAAGTTGAAGCTGAGCTATAGTATTATCTCTACGAAGGTGTGCGGCTAAACCACCGGCATGCGTTTCTTGAATGATCCGCTGCCTCCAAAAGCAATTTGGGATGCACAGCAGATTACTCGTAAATAAAAAACCACAACGAATTGAGTATTTAGCTACCGGTTCTTGCTGCAAGCACTTATGCCAATAGCCTTGGAAATAATCATCCTCCGGATATAATTCCTGCAGACTTTCTAACCCAGTAAATTCGGTCTGCAGCTGGGTCACAAGTGCCGCCCTCCTGCTCAATGCATCAGCTACACGATTTTGAGTTCCACTTTTATGCTTCAACACGAACGTAAATTTCTGTAAAAAGATAATTCAACGAGCATGCATTCGATTAATATTCTTTTGGGTATTGATATATTGGAGTGCTTTATGATCACTACATAGAACAAAATCCTAGGTGTAGTAAGTAATGCTCCCATTGTTTCAATGCTCTAATGACGGCATACAATTCCTGTTCGTACACCGTCCACTTCTATCTTGATGGGCACAATTTTTCACTGAAAAATTCTACTGGTTTGTTATCTTGTGATAACACGGCACCTATGCCAATGGTGGATGCGTCAGTATCCACGGTAAATGGTTTGTCAAAGTCAGGGAGTACAAAAACTGGTGCCGAGGACAAGGCAACTTTGATGGCCTCAAAACTCCTTTGCTGATCTTTCGACCACTTAAATTGACTTTCCTTCAAGGCATCGGTGATGGGAGCCATAATGACGCTAAACCCCTTGATAAAACGTCTGTAAAAATTAGCTAATCCATGAAAGCTACGAATGTCAAAGAAAAAGTGGGGCGGTGGCCACTCCAATATAGCTGTTACCTTGCGTGGGTCTATACTAATTCCAGCAGCTGAAATCAAGATACCCAAAAAGGATACTTGCCCTGTAAAAAATCACACTTAGTAACGTTTAGGAACAGTTTGTTCTGTCTAAGGATGCAAAATAATCTAGTTCTAGATGAGTCCGATTCTGAGGAGGAATTGGATTTACCAAATGCTCGGGATCTGTCTGATTTGGAAGGAGATCAAGGGGTGGTGCTGAGGCGTCGTCTGCTTGCTAGAGACAATTACCGCAGTGAGTTTCGAGTCAAACTTGATATACCATTTTTTGATGGCAAATTACACATTGAAGATTACTTAGATTGGGAACGAGCAGTAGAAACATTCTTCGAGTACATGGAGATCGAACCAGAAAAACAAGTGAAATATGTCGCTTGTAGACTAAAAGGGGGCGCCAGTGCTTGGTGGCAGCAAGTGATTCAATCACAACGGCGAGAGGGAAGAGGCGCTGTCCGCAATTGGTTCCGGATGAAACAACTGCTGCGAGGCCATTTCCTACCAATAGACTTTGAACAAATGTTGTATGTGCAATATCAACATTGCTCCCAAGGATCGAGGACAGTAAATGATTATACCGAAGAATTTTATAGACTTAGTGCAAGAAACAATCTGAATGAATTGGCCAACCAAATTGTTGCAAGATATATCGGTGGGTTGAAAGATGCTATCCAAGATAAATTGGAATTAAATGCCATTTGGTCACTTTCCCAGGCGGTAATTTATGCACTGAAAGCGGAGATGCAAATGAGCTGAAACAGTCATAGTAGGTCAAACCGGCGAACTACAGAACATTCTGTTGAGTTTAGTAAGCAGCATTTCCCAAATTCGGCTGGTGCTACCAAGCCTTCTTCCTCGGTTTCAGCAAGTAATCAAACTCATGGTACCAACCCAAGAGTTGTAGAATAGAGAAATTATCAGAAACATAAGGCACCAATGAAAGACAACCCATATGCCAAGCCCTCTAACATCAAGTGTTTTAGATGTTTTCAACAGGGGCATAAATCAAACGAATGTCCAACCCGCCCTCAATTGCAACTATTGGAGGCTGAAGATGAATATGGAG